TTGCTTACCAGCATTGGTCCTCCTAGTGACTTTGGACATATGCTGATAGAAAACAGTGACAACATAACATACAAGGTCTTTTCATAGGATTATGGAGATATTGACAAAGTTTTCTACAAGCAAATCCACAGCAACCACGATGTGTAGGACTTGTTAGGGTTCATGCCACTAGACATCCCATGATTATTCCAGAGTGACCCGCCCTTTGTGGTCAGCTATGTAAATAAAGTCATATATGATCCTTAACTTAGGGCTACCGTCTTGATATTTTAAGTATACTTTATGCCTAGAATGCAGATCCAATAAAACATTTATACAGGTCTGCTTGGCAGCATTCAAATTTTTCATTTGGTTCCACCACCACCCCCAAAAAAGTTATTTCTTTTTTCTTCTCTTAGGAGGATGCTGCAAGTCAAATCCGGATGAATGCCCATATACAGAAATCATTAAGTATATTAATGTGTATTGCTAAGCTTCCCTGTGCATGCAAATAACATCATGCACAGTTTCATACGACATCTGATACACAGTAAGGCCATCTTATCCGTGGGATCAGAATCTGCTGATTCACTTATACACGGTCTGAAAAGACAGACATTTAAAATATGCCAGGGGGAAAAAACGAGAAATACAGTAGAGATTTTCAAGATGTACATAGTTATGAGAACTGGCTACTAGAGAGAATGAGACATTATACTACAGGTAAGTTGCTGTCATTTCGCCTAGTCTTCTAGCACCTTGAGACAACTTCCTCTATGTTCCAGAGCAGCATGGTTGCAAAACTCAGAGCTGGGTTGGCAGACAAGGCTGGAGAAAAGGGTGCTAATCTAAGCCAAGCTGCCACTTGGGAGAGGATTCTCACTTCTTGTCCTCCCTGCCTTCCAGCCAGCCCCTTCTTCGACATTCTCAGGCAAACAAGGAAATGCATTCTTAATTTTCTTCAAAGAAGAAAACCTGCAGATCTATTGAGATTGTGTATGAGAGATAGAGGAGAGAAATTGTGTAGGAGAGGGGAATTGTCTTCAGCACATTGAGGAAAAAGAGAAGATTTCTACTTGGCTCTTGCTCATAGAGGCCCCAGGGGAGTCCTGGATCCAACATATTGTGTTAGCTATAATCTGTGCTTTTCAGTATCCATGGAGGGGGGCTTTGAACTGATTCCCCCACAGATACAGGGGGTTCTACTGTATTTTATATGGATACATGCAAAGATTATTGGGGAGGATAATAGAAATAGCATATTTTTAAAATTTGAGTATTCTAGCATGGGAATGGAATTAAAGAGGACATGCCCTGATATGAGAAAACAATTAGTCTTAATACATTATACGCCTCTTTAAAATAGCCACACCTTTTTTTTCTGAATTAACCGGTTAGCACAATGATTTTAAAGAAATGTGTATTTTAAATATACTTTATGCCTTGAATGCAGATCCAACAAACCATTTATACAGCTCTGCTTGGCAGGTTTGCTAATTTTTCGTTTGGTTCCACCACTGCCCCAAAAAGAATGTGTAATGTTGCTCTAACATTATTTCCACATTATTCCGTTCTTGCCACTGTCAAATGCCCCTATGAAAATAAAAAAACACTAATCTCAGTAATGGAGAATTAAATAAGTACTATGGGAAAGTTCTGGTCCCTTCTCAATTACAAGATGTGATGGTTAGCCTGACTTTTTACAACTCTTATTTTGCTGCTTCTTTCTTGGCTTCCAAATTTATAAGAACCGTGGAATGAAGCAGAGCTCACAAGAAGAAACTCAACACATCACGGCTACATTTCTTACATGTAATGTTCCAGAATATATTCTGAAGTTATATGAGGCAGCAAATGTAGAGAATTAAGCAGATCTAGAAGCAGTCAACAGCTGAAAGAAAGATGGTCTAGCAATCTGCTATAAGCCACCTCAAGGTATATGAGGATGCAGGAAAGTTGGGGCATAAATTTTAAAACATCATAAAATAGTTTTTCAAATAAGTAGCAAAGTGCCATAGCGGTCCTCAAATAATGAAATGCAGGTTTGCTGTTTGGAAAGGGGGAGAAAAACTATTCCTTCATACAAATATTTTCTTAATTAACTTTTTATTTTAAAAAAAGAGAACATATACAGGCATTTTTCATAGAAAACATATGTCAAATATATAGCGATATAATGTAAGAAATCCAATTATCATATATTGCTGGCAAACCTTGAGATAAGAATTTTATCTTTGCAATCTGCCCATATTTTCAGGATGTAGATTTGGCATACTTGGAGCTGTTAATCACTTTCTTCTGGCTGATAGACCATGCAACAAATAATCACCCCAATCTGTGTTTTGCTCCGAACTGCATAAGTATAATTCCCGCACGTGTGGACTTCCTCATCATTTCAGTGGTGTGGACATTTGGAAAGTGAACACTGGGAGCTGCACAAAATTCCTGGATTGGGTAATGTTATCTTTACACATTCAGATACAAGGAAGTCATAATTTTAAAAAGAGAGAAACTATAATAAAAATAGCCAGAAGGGAGGAAATCCAAAGAATGGTTTGAATTAAAGTGAGGAAGATGAAGGTTGATTCTCAAGACAGGTTTCCCTAAGACAGCATCTTTTACCACTGGCTAGGACCTATCGATGGATCAGTAGGCTGCTGATCAAGTTTCCCACTAAACTTATGAGATATCCTTCTCCAAATCAATATTATAAGAAACTGGGTAACTGCAGAATCAAAGGAACCAGACGGGAGCAAGGCAAGGTGCCAGTGGACGCAGAAGTGGGGATGGCTCCAGGTTTTACATGCCCTTGGAGAAAGTGGTCTCCGCTGGACCCCTTCTTCCATCAACGGCCCCAGACAGAATTATCTATCTTTGGGGGGTGCGTTCCATGGAGCACTGGAGGAGCCTTTAAAGGCCTAGGCAGCCTTTAACTAGCCCACAGTGCTCCAGAATACTCCTAGGACAAGGAAACGGCAGGTAATTAAGAGCAGGGCTAGACCTCATCATCTGCTGTTGGGCCTAGGGTAAGAAAATAAATCAATCAGGGATGCCCAAAGGGGACTCAGGAATGGGTTCCTACCACACATGCTGGTGCTTATTATTTTAAATATATATAATAAAACACATCAGAAAAATACGTAACTCATTGGATAATGGGTGGACAGTAGCCCTGATGTCTTGGCCAACTGAGCATAAAATGCAGGGGGAAATTAAAAAATTAATAAATAATAACCAATAACTCCAACAATTAAAAAAACCATGCAATGCTTTTAGAGCAGACAACATCTGCCATGGCAGAAAAAAGAACAAAAAATGACCCATAAACTTCCCCAGTTCTCTTGCACTGACTGATTCTGATTTGGACCTCATGGAAGCATATGAACTGTTGTTACACAGAGAGCAGCATCAAAGCACTGTTCCTTTCGACTGTCACCTTCTGCATTGCTATGTGGACTAAAGCAGGACGAAGACAACTGTCTGCTACATTTAAGAACTGAAAGATTTGCTCAAATTAAAGCTAACACAGAATCTGAAAACAGGAAGAGCACAGAGATGCTCTGTTTGCCCTGTACAAGCATCTTACTCACAGCGGTATACATTTTGAATGGAGGAACACAAATAATGAAGCATGTTCTTGCCTAGATTACCCCAAGGAAGACAAAAACAGGTTTCTCCTTTCAGAAAGCAGCTCAGCTTGGGGGAAAAAACTACTTTTTTTTTTTACTACAGCTTCCCAAAAGCCTCAGCCTGCATGGGCAGTGGCACGCTGGATGCAAGATTCTGGGAATTGTAGTTACAAAGGGCTTTGAGAAGCAGTACAGGTGATTATGCATGGAAATTCCCTAGCAGCATTGATTTAGCCTCCCTTTGTCATGTTCCTAGCCAGATACCATAACTACTGCCACTCTTTAAGTTTTTCATCTACTGGCCACGGCTTCTCTTATTTAAGCACTGGCAAGTGTCTCTCTCTCCTCTTGTAAAGAATCTAGTCCTAGGCATGTGCTAGGAATCTGAGTAAACGTATGAGCCCAACTAACTTCATCACCCTCTAGATAAGTGGTTTCCAACCTTGGGTCTCCAGATGTTCTTGGACAACAACTCCCAGAAATCCTGACCAGCATGGCTGGTGGTAAACGTCTCTAGCCCAAGAACATCTGAGGACCCAAAGTTGGGAAACACTGCTCTAGAAGTGGACAAAGGGAGAGCTTCCTCTGTCTGTGTAGGGTCTCCACGCAATTTGGAACTGCATGATTCAGCCCCAATGATTCAGAAATGTTCCAAAATAAAGAGGACACTCTACCTTGAGAAAGTCATATTCAACCTGTGTAGAGAAAGGTCTCTAGCGCAAGAACATCTGAGGACCCAAAGTTGGGAAACACTGCTCTAGAAGTGGACAAAGGGAGAGCTTCCTCTGTCTGTGTAGGGTCTCCACGCAATTTGGAACTGCATGATTCAGCCCCAATGATTCAGAAATGTTCCAAAATAAAGAGGACACTCTACCTTGAGAAAGTCATATTCAACCTGTGTAGAGGTGATGAGGTCCTTGCATGCTTACTATACTCGGGGCCAAAGCATACCTTAAAGACAGCATGTCCTTAGAAGCTGAAATCTGTTAAGTGTTCAGAAGGGATTATTCCAGCAGACCTCCATATCTGAGTAATCATACTTGCAAATGAAGCTTGTGCTCTCATCCTGATGACCACAACCAAGCAAAGCAAGCTAAATTGCAAATTACAGAAGGTGGGAAAAAAAGGTCTGATTGTGATCATCATGCATAACCAGCACTTAAGTATTTCCTTCTTCTAATGACACGTTCTCTGTAACAGGGAGTTCCACCTTGGGTCCTTTTGAGAAGCAAGGCAGGGTAAAAAAATATATTTTAAATAGATTAAATAAATAAATTCAACCTCAGATCATTTATCCTTGAATAGGACATGTAGGCAGGAAATCTAGTCCCATGTTGAGAGAAGTAGGCACTGCCAGAACAAGAGAAGTACTGTGAGAGAAATAGGCACTGCCAGAACAAGAGAAGTACTGCTTCCTGAACGGTCTATGGATGTATAGTGATAGTTGTGGTCTGGCAGAAGCATGATGCAAACAAGTATGGTAGGGAATTATCTCCCATGACCACCACTTGTAACACCCATTCCTTGCTTTTAGAGCACAATGTATCTGTAGAAGATGCATGACTTCATTACAAATGCTCCTTCCTTTAAGCTCGTAATTGTAAAATTGGCCCTTGGCCCAAATCTAATCCTTCCATTAATTATGGCATATTTTTCTTTGCATATCTAACATGGAGATGTAAATTTCCATATTTTTAATGGGATCTATGCAATTTACAAACGTATGAAGCAATCTAAAAGGATTAGATGGCTGCCTTAAGAGGGACCACCATGGCCTTCATGGCAAGAAGGTATAAACTGAGGCTGCAATCCTATAGAGGCTCACCTGTAAACAAGCCCCACAGAATTCAACCATGGGCTTACTTCTGAGTAGACACATTCACGATTGCACTAGTTGCCTCAGCAGATCTAGAATGGGGCCAGTAAATGCTCAACTTTAGGAGGGGTATCGATGTATAAAAACTGCTTCCCAGCAAAGCTCCATCACAATGTCAACCTGCTTAAACACACAGCTAATCAGAATGCAGGTAAATTGTACGCCCTACCAGGAGAAACAGCATTCCTGAAAACATAGCAAAAAATATTCCCACTGGAGCCAACATAAAAGACCAGCCATAGCGAACATAGAGGGAAAAATCTGGACAGTCTATTTTCTTCATAACCACGTAGTTCTCGAGATCGGCCACTGCCTGGACCCAGATGACATACAGCACAATCACCAGCGTGAACAAGATGCCTGAAAAGAAAGAGGGAACATAAAAATCGAGTGACAATATACAGCTCCATCGATCTTCATCATGAAAGCAGCTGGGAGAACTCGTGAGAGACTAGCTGACCTTTGCCAGACTTTAGAGCACCAGCTGGCTCCCACAGACCACCAGCCACACACCCTGCTGGCGGCAAGCTAGGAAGCCATAATAAAGAGCCATACACTGTGTCCCTTCACATAGGCTCAGAACTCCTGGGTGAATCTCAGCTCTATCTCAATGGGGAAAACTCAACAGGTGCAAGTCCCCTTGAATGCCCAACAAGTGAGGTAGGTGGTCAGGAGGTGGATCGGTGGCAGTGGACTAAGTAAGTTCAGTTGACTCCAGAAGTCCATCACATGTGCTTTTAATGCATACAATCCACTCAAAAATAATGGACATAATTTAAATTCACACACTCTCTCTTCATTCTACAATTGTAAGCTGCAGGGTGGTAAATTTCCTTTCTGCCTTGAACTGACTTGTGGCTTTAGTATAATCACTCCTGTTACCTTAAGTCTATAGACACAAAGTTGGGGAAGGAGAGAACCTCACCCTCACGCTCACAGAGGGGGGCACTCCTCTGTCCTGGTCATTGCTGTACTGATAACTAAAATAATATATAAGAAATTCTTCAAAAACTCTAGTTCACTATGTACATGTACTCCTGTATTTCTTGCTGTTGCTCACCCACCAGTCACAAATCGTTTATTTCTAATATATTTCTATAGCTATCCTTACAGTCTAAACAGAGGCACCATACCTTGGTTTTGTTTTAAAAGTAATTGTTTTTATCTGATTTTATCAACAAACACGAGTGGCTTGACCCGCCCCACTCCAAAAAAAGGTGAAAGACGGAAGCCAGGAGGGAAGCAAAGAAGGAACCAAACAGGATGCCTCTGTTCTGAGGAAACCAGTTTCTTATGCTGACAAACAACTGTCAAGAGTGGCCTGAACCAACATTTTCAAACCCACTGGCTGAGAATAACCTCATCTCTACAATTAACTTCAAGAAGCATGCATTTTAGACACATTTCAAACTGCTGCGTATTCCTTCATTTTCAGCTTGTTAGACCCTTTCCTTGGGGCACCAATGTCTGTTGTTCTGTAATACAGAATTTTCTAAAAGATGCAATGAATCACAAACGACTGGAGGAAATTATTTCTAAAACGTGAAATATGTGTCTGAGGGAGATTAGAATGAAGAAGCCCTCATCCCCTCGTTCTCCTCCGCTCCCCATGCTTTTTCTATTTTATTTTTAAAGTAGACCCATGTTTGATACACAGCACTGTGCAAGGAGATAAGACACGGGCTTCTCTGAGGTCAGTTTTTTTTTCTGTCATTAACGCTTTATTCTGTTTGAATCTGTTTCTCTCATACTCTTCTGCTTATTACAGAGGAGGGAGGGGGAAGAACACAAGCCCCTCTTTTTTTAAAAAAGGACTGTGAATTCAAGAGCAATTTTCTGGCCTCACTGTTTCTTCCCACAAAGCAGGGCCTTTCACTTGCCAGCAATAAATGGCTGTTTATGGCACAAAGGCTCTCGCATCTGATACAGACGTGAAGTCAACAGGTGTTGAGCAGGCTGACAACAGCCTCAGGCTGATGCTGCTAGTAAATTTAGAATGATGCCAATTTGTAAAGTAGTGGCTTTGTTCACATATTTACCTCCCAGACTTTCCTGCCACCATAGTGTGTTTTCTTGGGTACTATCAATGGCTTTTAGAAAAAAAATATGTACAATAAAAACAAAACAAGTTCAGCTGCTGAAATCTTTAATGTAAGATATTGGAGGAAAAGCTGGCAGGAAATCAAGGGCATCCTTTTAGCATGAACTGAGCAACCAAAAAAAAGGGGGGGGCTCTCACACAGCTGTCCCTGTAATGATAATGACTAAGAGCAAAAACCAAAGTGTTCCATGAGTGGATGGGTGATGCCACAGCCTCCGTAAATAAGGAACAGAAATCTAAGATGGCAGATCTCTCACATAGTCCCCATAAAAGCAGCCGCATCCAGTTCATGTTTTACTGCTGTCCACTCCATCTCTACTTTTCATGCCTTGTACTACACTAGCCATGCATGCCCATTGAGAAGGAAACCTCATTCAAGGGGATTTACTCCCAGATCATGCTTGGAAAAATGACTTTCATGGACTACTACAACTCCTAGAATCACCCTGGGGAATGATCATTTTAGGGTACTAATCCTAGGGTGGAGACTTTCTTTTCACTCCTCCAGAATGAAATGGCTACTGACATAGAAATTACCACTAGAATTACAGTAGTTACAAAAGTCAAGAAATATCTCTAGATACATCCACTTCTTCAGAAACATGGTGCACAATAGTTAGGCTACACGTTTATATGCATTGACTGAAATCCTATTGCTTAGCACGGTAAGCTGCAAGTAGAATAGGTCCACTGAATCACTGGGAATTTGGTGAGTCAACTCCTCCGTAAGTTCCATTGGTTCAAAAAGGCCTACTCTACACTAGCATTGTATTCAACTCTAAAAGAGATCCATTAGAATCAATGTAACATATGAATGATTTGACTCAATTCCCATTGATTCGATGGGCCTGCTCTAGTGCGACTTACTACTCTGAGCAACAGAATTTAAGCAACAGAGTACATATAAGAAGGAAGGACACCAAGTGAGCTAGATAAAAGAGGGAGACTAGGGTTCGAATCCATGCTCTGCCAAGGAAATTAACTAGGGGTGTGGCACCAGTAAGGGCATTCCTTAAATATCTCATTTATCTTGAAAGCCTTATTAGAGTCTCTATAATTCAATTCCGACTTGACGATGTTTTAAATGGGGGAATTTCGCTTCACGTTGTTCGGTTCCCTGTTTCGGGAACCGATTTTTCGCTTTACGGCGATCAGCAAACAGCTGATCTTCGTGTTTCAAAATGGCCACCAGCTTTCAAAATGCCCCCCCGCTGTTTTCTAGGACGGATTCCTCGCTATACAGGCACCAAAAATGGCCGCCGTATGGAGGATCTTCAGTGGACGAGCAGGTATTCAGCCCATTGGAATGCATTAACCGGGTTTTAATGCGTTTCAATTGTGTTTTTTTGTTTGTTTGTTTCGTTTCGTTTGACGAGGTTTTCGCTCCAGAGCAATTTCGCTGGAACGAATTAACATCATCAAGCGAGGCACCACTGTACACAAGAAATGCTTCTGCAAGTGTGTTGTGCAATAATTATGCTGTGAATCCACTATCAAATTGCCCGGCGTAGATTGCCCGGATATACTGCCACATGGATTACTTTTTGTGACATCAACATATTTCCGCCAGAATCTATTTATTTCATTTCTCTTTTCGTGCAGAAAATGTTCCCAGTATATTGTGGATTTGTTTGGGGGTTTTCTTTTGGTTGGTTTGGTTTGATTGTTTTGTTTTGCAAGTTAAGCTCAACCTTCCCTCACCCCCGCCAAAAGAAAAAAGATAGTGGCCACAATGTTTATTATGAAGGAGATAAGTCTGCAAAAAAAAAAGAGGGGGCAACTGAGGAGGAGGTGCTGGAGGAGGCTCTTGAGAGTCCCCTGGACTGCAAGGAGAACAAACCTATCCATTCTAAAGCAAATCAACCCTGAGTGCTCACTGGAAGGACAGATCCTGAAGCTGAGGCTCCAATACTTTGGGCATCTCATGAGAAGAGAAGACTCCCTGGAAAAGACCTTGATGTTGGGAAAGTGTGAAGGCAAGAGGAGAAGGGGACGACCGAGGACGAGATGGCTGGACAGTGTCATTGAAGCTACCAACATGAATTTTAACCAAACTCCGGGAGGCAGTGGAAGACAGGAGGGCCTGGCGTGCTCTGGTCCATGGGGTCACGAAGAGTTGGGCACAACTTAATGACTAAACAACAACAAACAACTGAGTTTGAATTCAACAGACCACTTACCAGCAGTGATGAAAAAGCCTCCTCCTGTTTTGTACAGCACATGGCTTCCAAAGGGAGCAGCACAAATGATGAAGAAGCTAGCAAGGACCACTGTGACCACACCTAGTAGCATGGTGATTGACCAGAAGCCACGATAAACTAGAAGTGACCAAAGGGAGAGGGAGAAGATACAGACAGGGTTCTTGTTTGAAAACCATTCTTAGACTGCAAAGACAATCTTAGAGATGCTCCCCCACCAACTCTTCTCATTAGCAAGCTGAACACTGATTCCAAAACAGTTTCCTGTGTAACAGTAATCTGAAACACCATATGTCTTTCATTAGGCTTGAACGCCAAACCTTATCAGATAATCTTGGAATATAATGATGTGTGTTAGAGTGCTACAAAACCCTGTTGCTTGGTATCTGCAGAGCATGTTTGTGGTTAATAAGTTCATTTACTTGGTCAATAGAAATTGATCATAAAAATCTTGTGCTGAATTGTAGCCAAGATTCTTCTAGATAATTATACGGCTTCACTAGTTCCAACTGATTTCACCGAAGCAGGAAAAAAAAAGAGCAAGAAAACCTTAGAGCAGAGCCAAAATAAGTATTCAGAATTCTTTTTCCTTAAAAATAAAAAGGAGTGCTTTGATAAAACTTATGCATTTCACAAAGTTCATTTGGATATGCTTTAGAACACAACTGCAACAACAGTCTTTCTCAACACTGCAATACAGTGCACTGCAAGAGCACGTCAAATTTGCGTATCGATGAAGCCATTCATGCAAGTTCTTTGTATGTTATTCAAATCAAAATGCAGAATGACAGAATCTCATTGAGCCAAGGGCAAGCAGTGCTGAATTAATGGAAGCAGCTGGTGATAAATGGGCTGGGAGTTTTGTGACATATGGTGCCCCCCCCCAACATAAATGTTCATAATAATAATTTAACTGGCTAATTACACATCTATTTTCAGAGATACTTCTCAAAGACCATACTCTCAGATATAAATTCATTTTATACGTTTTTAAAAGGAGGAACATTAATTATGTCTCAGTCGTTAACTGTTTTCCCTGAGTTTGAAAATAATTCAAAAAGGAAGGTCCATACTGTAGCTAACACCCTGCCTTCCCATATGTGTAAAGGTATTAGCCTGCACCAATGGGAGTTGTTGGGAGGCGGAGCCAGAGTAAAACTAGAAGGGAGGGGTGAGGCTGTGGAGAGCTAAAGGTGGTAGTTGAGAGTGAGGACGCTACAGAAAGTTAAATAAAGTTAATAAGAAGCCAATGAATGGCTTAACGTCTTTTAACAATTTATTCAAATAAACTATGATCAATAAACCTGTTTTACGTTGAAGGTAACTCAGCGAATGGACCTAAATCTTTCTGAGTAAATTGTGTTGGTAAGGACCAACTAGTGACAGCGTGAAAGGGAGCATAGCTCATGTTCCTTGGGTTAGTGAAACAACCTGGGGGCACACAGGAAAGAGGGTCACGTCACACATACATCCTATGAAGCAACCGTAGTGACTAGTGGACATCTCAAGTAGCTCAATATGCAACATTTCAGTGGAAATGGACTCCTCCAGCCCAAACAACAAGCAACTTCTTTGTACTGTACATTGCCCTGCTTTATAGAATACAGACCTCCATTTGACCGGCTGCCAATGGGCAGTCTTTTGAAGGTACCCTCTGTCTGAAGAGCTCTCCAGCCCAACATTGATTTAAAAATAAAGAATCATCAGAAGAGGGACCAGTGGCTTTGAAGTTGCCATCACTTATTAGAACCTGGGCCGCCAACTGCATAAGCAACACAGGTCACCTGCTCACACTCTTTGTGCTCCTCTAATGCACTTCAAAATGTATTGGCTGAAATCCTGTTTCAAAAATTGTTGGACATATTATCTGAAGCAACATGTCAGATTGTAATCCAAAGTAAAATTTCCAACCTCTGATGGGATATGTCTTTTCTACACATATTACCAAATGATGCCCAAGTTCATACAAGCCCAGTCTGGTCTCCCCATGCCTCTCATGTTCCACAGCCTCCATGTTGGTAAGGCCTTGCCTATCATATCCATCAACCACATTCTATATTGGCGGTGGGACTGTTTGTTTATTTGTTTGTTTGTTTGTTTATTAAATTTATACCCCGCCCCTCTAGACCATGTCTACTCGGGGCGGCTAAAAACATAAAATATATCAATATAAAATATCATAAAAAATACAATTACTATATTAGTTAAAAACATTTAATTTACGAAAGGATTACCAAGATGGGATAGGATGAGGAAAGAAGAAATTAAAAAAGACTTAGCTGACTGGAGGGAAGGCCTGCCTAAATAGCCAAGTTTTTAACTGCCTTTTAAAAGCACCCAGCGAGGGTGCCAGCCGAATTTCTTTTGGGAGGGCGTTCCACAGCCGAGGGGCCACCGCCGAGAAGGCCCGGTTTCTAGTTTTTTCCTTCTGAGCCTCTCTCGGCCTCAAACCCCTCAGCCGTCCCTGCTGGCTATGACGGGTGATCTGGGTAGATCTGGGTGGGAGAAGACGATCTGCCAAATATTGAGGTCCCAAACCGTTTAGGGCTTTATAAGTGATCATTAGAAACCATTAAATACCAATCTGTGGAGGTATGACTAGTCATTTTATACAGCTGTTAATAAACTATTTGTGTACTTGGTTTGTCGAAATAAATAAATAAATAAATAAATAAAGAAATAAAGAAAGAAAGAAAGAAAGAAAGAAAGAAAGAAAGAAAGAAAGAAAGAAAGAAAGAGAAAGAAAGAAAGAAAGAAAGGTGCAGAGAGGCTGCTACCAGGCTATTTTTCCTACTAGTCTTTCATAAACAGCATCTACCTCTGGGATCTACTGAAAGCTGTAGGGCTCTGCAGGGCTGACAGAGCTTTGCTTGGAGGTTTACCAAAGCTGAGAAACGCTACTTTTTGAAATACAAAGAAAAGAAAAGAAAGTAACTTCCAACTAAAGTGGCCAACAACAACAACATCAGAGCTACAAAAAATAACAATACTGTATTAGGAACAGCATAATAGTGTGTCAATATTTAACAGATACTTAGGTTTTTGGTTAAAACTTGTATCTGTTATATCATGCCAGTCAATGTTTTTATGATCTTGATTGACTCTACCTCATATTTTTAAATAACAACAACAACAACAACAACTCTTACAGACGGTGAGAATTCCCACAGGCAGAGCTTGCTTCAAGGAGCAATGCATTTCCACTCATGCTACCTTTTTGGGGAACAGGAATTATGAGAAACAGAGAGGGGGAAAGTAAAATAAAATATTGATATTCTCTCTCAGATTAGAAGGTATAAATCCAGTTAAATTAATAACTGGTGCCCAGAATTATGTTCTATATTGCATGCATGTGGATGTGGAAATAAAGCTATGCCTCACTTATCTTCACAAGATCGTATATAGACAAGAGCTTAGATACAATGCCTAAATGTTATATATAAATCATCTCACTGCATGTAAAGTTCTGTTTGCAATATTTATATTCAAGACAGTTCCAAAGTATAGCAGTATAAGGAAGTAGCATAGTAATTTAACTAGTGCTCTGCATTTCAAGCCTGAGGAGCCTGGGCTGTTGCAACAGGATAACAAAATACTTTCCATAACTTAGGTCCACAACATTCTTCTTCATCATGTCACAGCACATGCTTTGGCAAAGTTGCATAAAGCTAAAAATACTAGGGTGCCGGGAACAGTACAAGAGTACAGGAGGGAGATGGACAGGCCACAAATCTGAATTCTGCCACAGCAGGTCTCACCCGCCCTTGGAATAACAGATTGCTCCTTCGTGCACATCACAGAATCTGAAGGAGTAGGTGCAGCTCCAAAGATTACTTAGTCTTCTTAGAAAGTGTTGGCAGGCTCTGGTCATTGTTTTAAAAAAGGCATGAACCCTGAACTTTGCATAATCTTCTCAGCACGCAGCCAGTGGAGTGGTGGAGTAAATGATGCAAGTCAAAGTGCAAAGACTTTTTGAAGTAGTGGGGAAGATACCATAATAATAGTTGTTCTTGTCATCGTCGTCACCATCTTATAACTGCAGAGCTGCAAGGGGCTCCTAGGCATCAACGAGTCCAGCCCTTGTCAAGGAAGCACAGAGGAGAATCGGACTTCAAACCTCTGGCTCTCCAGCCAGAAATTTAAATCATCTGCACCTCCACTAAGATTCCCTTATTTCCTCCGTGCCTTGGTGAAATTCTTACAGAAACCTGGGGAGTGGGGAACGGGTTTTCCAACAGTAACATATTGCTGTCCTAACATGAGTGGTCGTTAGACTAGATAGGCGGGGTATAAATGCAATAAATAAATAAATAAATATTGCTGTCTGTATTCTCCACTGTTATGCTAAGTATTTGGGAATGGCTTGGTCTTGAATGGGCAGTTACAAGCCACAAGATTTACAACAGACCTGCTCCTATTAGAATAAATGTAATTTTCGGGGATATTTTTATGTCTATAGACCTTTTAGTCAGATTCAGATTGCATTTAGTCAGATCTTCTTAAGAATAAACCTCTTTGGATTCACAGGGATTTCACTCAAGGAGTAAATATATAGGAGTAGGCTATAAAATATTCAATGCTTAGTCAACAGTGAATTGCTTCAATACCTAATTACGAATTTCAGTATCCAGCGCCAGTGAGACCAGGACTTTCTTCCCCTTCACCCTTTTGTAGCAGCTCTTGGTGGCACCCAAAATGTGTTCCAGTGAGTGTCCAAGCCGTTTGAATATGGTTTCTAGGATGCACCATGATGGTGCAGGGAGGAGAGAGAACTGCCAGTTCTCATGGCAGCAACGGGATCTAGCGGAAATACACCACTGGATCTTGCCCTTCGTTTCATGGCCAGCTGTGAAAAGGACATTTCCATAAAATCACAGGCTCCAATCAAGGAATGCAGAGGGAAATACTCTAAAACAAAATGGAAAGCTAAGTTCCCATCAGTGGACAAGTACATTGGGAAATGGAATGTGCTTTTGACTTAGAACATATACTATTTGCACAGCATGCACATTGCAATCAAGTCTGACCGATATGCTACCACATACCCCTTGAATTACACAGAAGGTGTAGGACAGGGAAATGAGTTGCTCGGGACACACAAAGAGATTCACAAGTTGCCACGGGCAAATATTTCTAGTAAATTATTTACCTATTGTGATTAGTTCATGATCTCTTTGCTGGGAAAGTTTTTCACCCTGGTGCCCAGAAGGAGATTCCATATTGCCAGTAGTCCATGGGGAACATTAATATTTCACATTAAAACAAAACTTTAAATATGGCTATTGTTTAATCACATTGCTCTCTATATTGAACACCACAATTGGCCATGAAATTGGCCCACACAAAGACAGGCATTTCTGAGATCAGGCTTCTTTCCAGGTATCACGAACAGCACAGTGCTATACATGTTTGCACAGAACCAATGCTCACAGAGTTCAATGGCGCTTATTACTCCCAGGAGGAGGGGCACAACTTTAGGGGGCTGTGGTAGCCAGCAATAATATCTCTCGCAACACTTCTCCTGTTAGAGTAGCAGGACTATTTAGTATCAGTTATTGTGGTTAAACACACAAAAACATAGGCTCCTGATGTAAAAACAGAAGAGGAATACAGCCAAACATTATGTATCACATTATTATGAAAGGTGTTTTTTTTTATGATCACAGATAATGTAATCAAAATTTATTAAATTACTAAAGGCTCCATATAAAGCTGAACTATATCCTGGGAAGAGTAATTGTGTGCCATCAGGTCAATTCCAACTTATGGAGATCCTTTTCAGGATTTTCCAGGAAGCTGGGTGGATAGCTCCATGAGTTAAGATATCTGGTTGGGAGTTTGATTCCCCACTGTGCGTTCCAGAGGAGCCAGCCTGTGTGGCCTTGGGCAAGCTGCACAGTCCCAGGATGCCCCCAGAAGAAGGGAATGGGAAGCCCTTTTCTGAGTATTCTCTACCTAGAAAACCTTGAAAAGGGCTACTATAAGTCAGAACTGACTTGATGGCAAATGTTGATGATACCGGAGTAAATCTCCAATGCTGTATGTAATTTACCATTATTTCATCACAAAAATACATTCATTTAAATTTAAGGAAAGATATAACTACATGGACCTATTTTGTTGTGGGAAATATAAGGATATCACGTGACTATACTCAAAACAGATTTATTTGTACCCAAAAAAATATTTGTTAAAAGAAATGTATGTCAATTTGAAGCTGCACTAATCAATAAGGAAAATTAATGAATCTAAAAGAGCCTAGTACTCCAATTCACATCAATCAAAAACATAACAAATGCAAGGGTGCTTACATCAGGACAAAATGGGTTAGTTCCATGAAAAAGGAATGCTTGTGGAAGACAAAGTGGATAAAGAATTTACTTACACAAATTTGAAAATGAAAAAATTTACACAACTTACACATGATGATGGCACTGATTTGAGAAGATCAAATATTGGCAATGGTAAGTTATACTCACTGAAATTTGTAAAAAGTATTTTGAATATAAATTTTTCAAACATCTTGGCTTCTATACTTCTTTGAGGCCAAAATTCATCAGTTCAGAAGAAATGGTCTTTGGCCCTTTTTTTCAGCATCGCTGTTTGAAACTGACTTACTTAAATATAAGGTTGCATGTTTGTGCTCACATTGCAGAACCAAATGAACTTTGTATCTGATAATATAACCATTCTTACATGAGTTTCTACCCATACAGTTTGGAACTGGAGTTTTATGCTGTGCTGGATGCCCAGTCTATGTATAGCAAGGTTGAAGGACCTGTGGCCTACACAAGTTGATGGACTCCAGTTTCCATCAGGCCTAGCCCAGTTAATAATCAGGATAGTGAGGGTTGTAGTCCAAAATATTAGGGCAAGGGAGGGACAGGTAGTCCTGAAGACTACATGTCTCCCCCATGCAATAATGACAACTTGAACTTCAATAATGTAGTCCTCTGCTCAATTACTCTGAAGGAGAGATGGACATGAATCACTTTGTGCCAGATCACCCTAAGTCACTGACGTGGCACCCCAGCTGTCATGCGTTCTCTTCTCCCACCCACGTCCAGCTGGCTCCCCCACTTACAAGTTGGCATGTGCTGCTCGGTTCCCTCTTCTTCACACGATCTTCCAGTCCTGGCAGAGGCATGAACTTCCTGTCTCTGCCTCCTCCAGCAGTTGCCCACTCAGACAAAGAAGAGGGAGGGATTCCTGAAGTGCTGCCTTTGAGTGGCCAGCTGCTGGAGGAGGCACAGAAGGGAAGTACATCCTCCTGCCAGGATTGTAAGATTGCACAACAAGGAAGGAACCAAGCAGTGCATGCCAGCTTGTGAGTGGGGGAGCCAGCCGGGGTGGGTGGGAGAAGGGAACATGACAACTTAGGATGACCCAACATGAAGCAGTTTGTGCCCATCTCTACTTTAGAGTAAGGCCAAGTGAAATCAGTGGGACTTACTGTACATCTCAATAAAAGTACATAAAATTGTGCTAGAAGTGTCATATTCTTTTGCTGAAAAACTAAGAAGCATGAATGGAACAGATCATCATCCAACTCGTTTAGGATTTTGTTCCCAACAATAGCCAACCAGCAAGTCATTACACTGATAACCCTTCCCATGCACCAGTGAACAAGAAAATACTTACTAATGGCAGAATCATAGGACCCTTCCCATGCACCAGTGAAAATACTTACTAATGGCAGAATCATAGGCAGTTGAGTTGTGCTCATCTCGGAAGAGTGGAAACGGAGAGAGATAGGCATGGGTGCAGTTTTTAGACGGTGATTGGTTAGCTGGAAAATGACATGTGTTAAATTATAATCTTTCATTTACACCAAAATTCAGTAACTTCTGTTTATTTTTATGAAGTGCCTGAGTACCATCCTGGAATCCCACAAGTGCAACAAGCAGCTGATAAGTTCCGTATACCATTTGGTTCTCATTAGCATTATTACTGATATGATATTCAGAAAAACTACATGTTCCACAACAGCAACAATGACGGCACAGGATGTTTCTACTTGCAGTTGTATATTTTAAATCCAGCTGGGCAAAGGGTGGCCGATATGCTGTATGCAGGCCCTGCCCTCCCATCATTCCCCATAACACCCCTCATAACTGGAGGAAATTTGAGGGGAAGAGAAAATCAGAAAGTCATACCTATTTCCTGGAGGGGCTGCCAGTCACTTTATATGTGTTGTAGCCCTTGTTCAAAAATGTCTTCCATGACCTTTCAGAGCTGGATATTAAAGTTAGTGTGCATGTGTATGTATGAGAAACAAGCCCTTTGGGGGAGAAAGAAGCCTCTACTTTCTGAGAAGGAATGACTTCTTTATCCCATTAAAAGTGTCTTTTGAAGGGGGGGCTGCAGGTTACTTGGCTATTATAAAAAGGGGTAACTCAAAAAAAGTTGGAAACCACTGCTCCAAGGATAATTTAAATAATATTCCAGCTTCCCTGGGGACTGTTTTAGCCATAATTTTTTTTAAAAAATGGAAATGACCATTCAAAAAAACAAAACAAAACTCCACAGACCTGTAAATTACCATTTTTCAAGTCTGAAAAATGGCAATGAAGAGTGAAAATGGCCCCAGACTTTGTAAGTCCCTGATGTCAACTGAAGAGACAGAGAAAGCAAAGCGCTCCATTTTGTTTACATGTGTTGTGCCTCCTCCTACACAAGCAGGAGCATGCAAGGTGCTGTAAAAGCTGTTGAAGGGCCTTGTGTGATGTCTTGTGCAAGGATTTGCACAATGCGTTTGCATCAGCTGTGTTGAAGGTTTTCTGAAGATGGAACTAGTGGCCATCCCCTTTCTGCACACAGTGCTGAGGACCCACATGCACACCAAACATCTGTTGTCTAAAGAGTCCATCTTTAGACAATTGGAAACCAATATGTTCCTGTACTTTCTATGCACCAAACATCTGTTCATAGAAGCACAGTCAAGTAGAAAAGAGTCCATCTTTAGACAACTGGAAACCAATATGTTCCTGTACTTTCTATTATTTGAATGAATATCAGTAATGCAACAATTCCAAGATATGGTGGTTCTGTTGACTGCATCTAATAGTGTTCATCTGCCATCAGCACAGTTTCTGCTGAACTGTTTTCAGCAAAGCATATGTATTCCCCTTTCCTTAAACAGTGACACCCCTAACCCTAAAGATGTTTCAGAGAGCTGAGTGATCCTCTGGAAGAGACCTGAAGAAGTTGCACATGGGGGATTAAGAAGAAGAACAGAAAGTCCTTTTCTGTGAGCAAACATCCACTGGAGTTATGTTGGATGCAGTCCTCTACAAATAGATTTTCCTCAGTGAATATAATTGATCACAACAAGGGAAGCATAATCAATAAAATTAAACATTTGTAAAAGGAAGATACTTACTATACCAAAATTTCCACATAGTGCTAGTATTCTCATCAACCTTCCCATCAAACCAGCATCTCCAGAAGAAACCTTCATGGTGGAAGATAACTTTTTCTTCCTTCACAAAAGAAACACACAGGTTATCATTCAATGAAGAACACATGTATTGCTCCCTGCTCTGCAGGTTTAGACATCTGTGGGCAATAAACAAATCACAGTATTTAAGTACAGAGCTTTGAAGCGGGAAAAAGAAAAACTCATATACATATACATAAGAGAACTTGCAATAGTTCCAGAATAACTCTGCTGTTTCTGAACGTATCAAACCAACGTCAGAATCACAAATAATGAGCCACATGAGCATGCACACGAGTTTTAGAGGATGTTCGCTTTTAAAATGAGTGTTCCTCATTCGTAAGTGATATTTCTAGACAAGGAATAAATAAACTGCAAGATGCCATTCAGAGCAACAGAATTAACCAATGTCATATACTAACCAGGGTGTCATTCAAACCTTCTGAACACCTTCCAACCTCCGTTGCAAGCAGCCAATAGTCTGTTCCAAAGGCAACCAAAAAGAATAAAATTCCAAGAGCTCCGAAGAAGCCGCCAAAAAATATCCCAACGCTCAATTTCATCGCTTGTTTTGCGTTTTTAAAAAATGATGATATATTTGCAATATATAAATATATATATTGGGTGGAGGGGAATAGCTTTCTTCAGAAAAAGTTATTTTAAAAATCACACCCCTGTAGGGGAACTCCTGCTACTCGTCTCTGAAGACGTGGGTAATTTTTATCATCTTTCTCAAAGGGCTTTTCCGCTAGTGCTTTGGCTTAGTTTGTGTCCCATTAAAGTGCGACCTAACAAACAGGCAGGGGCTTCTATTTTAGGAGACTCTATAGAAGAACGTTATGGTATTTCCCTCAGCAGGCTGGGCTGGCCCAAAATAACTGACCTTCCCTTAGCTGGATATTCACTTGAAAGGCAGTTGCAACTTGGTGCATCAACAGGCACAGATGGGGGATGAAATTACTGTGCGCCTGTTATTCAGCACAGTTAGATCTCAATATCCAGTGCTGGGGAACAGTTTTGACAGGTACACCCTCTAATCGATGTCTCTCCCTCTCATAAGCAGGCACAGGGTGCCTGCTCCCAGCCATAGACAAACATACAAAGCACACAGCCAGGCTGACAGCCATAAATATTGTGAGCCACATGGAAGGTTTATCATACCGAGTTTGAAAAGGAGGGGCAGAAAGGAACCTCACTGACCAACTGAGGCCAAAACTAGGCAATACATTTAGCACATCACTGGAAGAATAAAGAGGACCAGCTTGTCCTAGTTTAGCCTTGCCTTACTCCTTATTTTGCAAATCAGCTGGATTTTTTTAATTTTATTTTATTTTTGGTGACTGGTTATTGGAAGGTTAAACTCATTTTTCCTTTGGAAGGCTGAGTGAAGGAATTGCACGTGAAGGGAAAATGTTGCACATTTTTCACAATACACCTCTCCCTCTTTGTCTGCTGACAGGTGAAGACCATCATTTTAGACAGGGTTTAATGTGATGTACTAAACGTTATTATTGTTGTCGTTGTTGTTGCTTTAATGTGTTTTTGGGTGTGATCAACAATTTTGACTAATTGTTTTAATAATGTTACATATTTCAATAGTTTTTAATATCATAATTTATTGTGATTTTAGTTGGTTTGTATTTTAATAACTGTGAGCCGCTTTGGTCTCTTAATTGGGGGGAAAGGCGGCATCCAAATGAAACAAAGAAATAAACGATCTAATCGACCCTGACCAAACTGGCTTATTCACAAGGATAAGAACACCATTACAAATCTTTTTCAGGACACTAAACACTGAGTTTTTTTTCTGCCTTTGGAGCCAATTATTAATCATCAAAACACAACAAAGCAAAAAGAAGTATTTGAAAGATGCAATGTGAGGCATCACCCAAGAAAGAGAACAAAAGAGGAAAAAGTTTACTGTAAAATGTACTTACCTTTATTTATTT